AAATTGTAATTAATTTTTTATCTCAGAAATAGATTATAAAATAAATAGTATAGAAATGTATGAAATGTTGAGAAGTTTAGGCGCCGGCGGTTTTGGATGTGTGTATGAAATGAGATATAAACACAGCAAAGAGGATATACACTATGCGATTAAAAAATGTCAATTAAATGGTATTAATTTTATTATTAAAATAATTTAATTTAATTTATTAATGATGATTTTATTAATGATGTCTAATTTTAAGGCCTCACAGAAAAGCATAAACAAAATGTTTTGAATGAAACGCAAAACTTGATAAAATTGCGCTCAGAATATGTGATTCAATATTACTATTCATGGATTCAATACAACTGTTTATACATTTTAATGGATTGTTTGGCCGGAAATTTATCACATGTTTTACAAAATAAAAGAGCATTATTTGGGAAAGTAATGTCTGAATTTGAATATTATATATCATATGATTTATTCAAACAATTGGTCGAAAGTGTGGAGTATTTGCATAAAACTAATATCATTCACAGAGACCTTAAACCCGATAATGTGTTGATTACTAACAATTATAAAAGTGGTTCTAAACCTAAAAGATATATAAAGTTATGTGACTTTGGTTTGTCTAAAGAAGTGCATGTATTGAGTGATGAATACAAACAAAGTATTGCTAAACACACCGCAGATGTGGCTCTATATATGGCACCCGAAGGACAGACCACTGAATACAACCATTTAATAGATGTCTATAGTCTGGCACTCATTGGAGCGAAAATATTTGGTTTTGATTCAAACAATATCAGAGACGGAGTGTATGTAATGACAAATTGTAACAATTAATTTTACTATTATAATTACTATTAATTTTACTAATATAATCACATTTATAGCATATTCTCAATAAAATGTTTTACGTATCTATCTATCTTGTATTCAATTATATTAATATTTAATGTAATATAAATATAAACAATTAATTTCTATGTTTATTTTTAGATTGGATTGCAATTTAGAAAATAATAATAATCTTAATAACAAATTGTCAGAAATGTACGAATTATTGCTTTCAATGAGTGTTAGTATATATACAGAGAGTTATGGAAAGACTGATTGGAGACTAAGACCTGAATGTGAAATCATTTTACATAAATTAAACGTATTATTGATTGAA